CTGCTGGTGTGTAAACACAACGATGGAGTCAGTCATCTCTCTGGCTGTTACTGTGGCTGTGCCTTCCATAGAGCATTTTAGTCTTTTTCATGAACTGAATGAAGTACAAACCCCAAATAAAGATTTCACTCTAAACAGTGGACTTTCTCCTTCATTTAATTTTCATTTATCATACATGGATCTTCCACATACCTGGCAACAGTTTCATTGGATCTACTTTCTACTAAATAAAGAGTTCTAAGAAAACGTTGTTATCCTGAGTAACCTCCTGAGTAGCTACTTGGCTCAATGGATGGGAATGATAGTCAGTCAGTTGCTCGGCCATTTTAATCAAGATTGAAACATCTCATCCAGATGGGCCGGCACAGAACAGATATTTATGGTGCCCAGAAAACAAAGTCTACTGATTTTTATCCCCAGACGTCTCCACTAGCTCCACCATGAGGTTCACATTTATGGTTTCTGAATGAATACAATTTAATAGATTTCCATGAATTACTAAGATGGTACACTTTACTCACTAACATTTAACTCAAAGTAGAGCCTCACAGAGCTGCTGGTGTGGCTGAAAACTCTTGTTTGTAATTTGGGTGAACTGATACTTAAAAGGCTCAGTTGTATTGTTATTGTATGATCAGGCTGCAGAGGTTCTTTGATTGCCTTCTTGGTGTCACCTGACAACATATAAAACAATAATGACATAATAATTATGGTTTAAAGGCTAAATCTGCTGATAATTTATATTTTCCTTATTGTCATTAAATCAAATGGAAACACTAAAACCAATGATGACCTGATGCTATAATAGTGTCTGTGTATCTTAAGCTTAATACATTGTTGCTTATTCCACTGTGCCATAGAGCTCCATTGTTGTCCAGAAACTATTAAATACACATCAATGAGCCACACTATTGCACTAGATGTCACGTTCCTTCCCTTGAAACCTGATTAGAAAAGGAGCATCACAGCCTCAATTTATTTCATTTACCCAACGTGGCAACTATCTTGCTCTGATAAGAAAAGCCATTGTCATGATTTTTTGCAAAATGCTGTTTTTGTGTGGGAGAAGCAAGCAAGCGCATGCATCATGTCCCCTAGAGATTTCACTGAGCCAAAACTGTTCAAGAGAATGAAGGCGAGGGTAGAGGGAGGTAACCTACTCTACTTTCTCCGTCCTTCTGCAGAGGAAACTCAACTCCTCTCTTTATAAAAAAAACCCACAGTCATTCTAATGTGTGCTAAACTTCACGTGTGTTTTGATACAGACAGACCAACAAGCATCCTTCATTCTCCACTGCAGGATTTCTGCGTGTTGCCATGGTAACAAGTGATGGCAAGGATGAAGATTGAGGAGGATGAATGTTTGGAGATGTTAACAGACACACGATAATCTTAATAAACCTTGTAATTGTGTAGATCAGTGAGTACAGATACATTCTCAGGCACTTCAGATACTCAGTGACTGAAAGAGGTCTAAACAAAAACTTCCAGATAAGCGCAGACATGTGATAGTGCTCTTAATGAACTGGAGCTTTCACTGTGCTCACACTGATACAATAATACTCCCACTCCCACGTCTTTTCAGTTAGTCTGTGTTTGTGTGCTGTGTGTGCAAAACCTATCATCTGTAAGAGAAAACACATGGCAGTGTCTTGCCAGATCTGCCAGCTCTCCCTGCCAGAAAAAGCTTAATATGGCATTTGAGTAGAAGGGAAGAACAATAAACAGAGGAGGAAGAAAGCGGGAAATGAATGAGATAGGAGATGAAGAAGAAGAAGATGTGCAGCAAAAAGGTTCATGCTGAATATAAGAAGTAGGGCAGATCTTTCCCCCCCAGGTATGTGAGAGGAGAGTCCTGACCAAGGTTGTGAGTCTCTGACAGTTTAAATAGTGAAAGAAGAGCTTATTCAAACTCTGCTTGGAAGTAAAAGTTCATGTGGCACAACTTGCAGGAGAATATTGTCGCTGCCCAGTGAAAACCATTGATGAATCTTCAAATTTGTTGATTCAAAATTTCTCAGAGGAACAGTTATAACACCAATAATTTCATATACAGTATGAGTTGTGAACCATGTTCTTCTTGGACTAATCTAACCATTTAAAAAGAGTTTACAGCCATGCTGATGGCTCTGGGAGGCTATATTTACGGGTGTTGTGTGCTAAATGCTAACACTACTATGGCACCATGCTCACAACAATTCAGTGTCATCCGTTTTGCAGGTATTTGATCATAAACTTAAGCATTGAACAAATTAAATAAAGTTAAATTACTATTTCAAATGTCATGAACCTTTATGACCAAACCAGTTTGATTAGGCTTAGAGGCAGTCACTCATAAATAAATTGGGCATAATAATCTCCTACATTTATTTTTGTGGGTTACAGGGTTGTACATATGAACTGTAGCACTGCTATCATGTATCACATACTTCTACAGTTATAACACCAGTAATTTCCCAGCATATATTTAACTATTTAACTGTCTCAACCCATACTGCCACATTTATCCTACTGAGTCTACTGCTGCCATCTAGTGTGGGTAATGCAAAGATGATTTTGGTTCACTGTGTTCACTATATGCCCAGAAGTATGTGGACACAGCATACAACAATCGTGTGCTTCCAACTTTGAAGGTCCCCCTCTGTTTCAACATGGCAAAGCAAGGTCAATATGTGAAAGAACTTAGCCTGCACAGAGCCCTGACCTCCCGATCCACCATGTTTGGGATGAACTTGAACACAGACGGTGGGCCATCAGTGTTGCACCTCATTAATGATCTAGTGGCTGAATGGGTGTGAATCCCTGTAACCAGATTCCAAAATCTTGTGGAAGCCTGAAAACTCAATAATTAAACACATTATTTATTAATAAAAGTATCATTTAAATATTAAATAGTCTCTATTTTATAAGAGACTGTTGTATCAGCATGCTATTGCCCATAGTTTTGGAATGAGATGTTCATGTCATGTTAAGCTGTTCACACACTTCTGACTTTGTTACCACTCCACTAACTGATGCATGGTCACTTTGCTTACCTAACATGCCACAAACAGGTGACAGGTCTGTATTAAAGGATGTCTGCCAGTTGCATACACAGAAAGTGCTGTTGCAACCAGTGGCTCAGATTAGTTTGTCGGCAGGTTTGCTCTTTTTTTTTTATTTAGTTTGTTCCTGTCTTATTTGCTCCCTTATATTAAACAGGAAGTACTGACCTTCTTCAAGGGTAGAGATAAGAGATAGAACAAACTAATGCACACACACCCAAATGCACGCACACAATGACAAATTATCACAGTATCTGTTTGCCCACCGATAGCCGCGTCCAGCCAGACAGTGTGAGTCAGCAAGAGACGGAAAGGGAGAGTTTTGTCCTATATCCTGATGATGAAAAGCTTCGGGAGAAAACAATCAGGATATTCTCAGAACCGTATTGATGGCCTCATACGAATTTGACTACAACACACCATCTGTTGTGCTGTTTGACTTTAGTACTTCTCTAGAAATCCATGTAGGTGTGTCTACCCAGACAGTAAACATAAGGCTGCCAAACAAAATCACCTACTCCTGAGTGATTACACAAACCTATTTTTTAAGAACAGGTAGTATGCAGCATGTGTGTGATAGATATATAGAGACAGACAGACAGACAGACAGACGAAAAGATCTTGTAATTACGAGATATGGTGTCAATTTTTTTAAAATCCAGTGAATGCAATGCGCTTCCGTACTTTTATTATTAAATAATGTGTTTAATTATTGAGTT